GCTGGAACCGTGATGATGTTCCTCTGCCACATGTAGGTATAACATGGCACTGACACCTGCATGACTCATGGTTCCTCATTGTTTACTTATTATTAGTTCATAATGGACGTTTCTTTCTTTTAGCACCACTGTGGGTCAGTGTTCCAGTTATGACTGAACAACAAGAGTTAAAGTTAGCTGCCAACGCTGCATCCACACATTCAACTTATTAATGTCACTGTTATGCATAAATGATGCAGGAAAGCTGCTACTCTTTAACAAGGGCTGAACAGCAACAGCCTGCAGGTCCTGGTGAGGTGCGCAGCACGTCCAGCAGCTACTATGAAAAAGTGCTTTAAATAACGATGAGAGAAAACACAAGTGAGTGGGTGACTCTTACCTCAGTGTGGGGTTAATAGCCACGGACCACACTCTGTCACACATGGGAATTGTATCTCTGGGAGCGGTGGAAGTCAAATTCCAAATCTAAAGAAAACAAACTTATTAGATCATCTATGGATTAAATGACAAATTAAATTACATGACATTATTATTGTGATGATTTAGATATACAGTGAAATGTAGCATTTGTTTAGTTTAAATATGAGTAAATGTTTCGTTAACTTCAGTCTTATAAACATGGAGCAGACAGCTGTCTATGTAACGGTCAGGATGTGTTTCATGTGAGCATCGGGGGCGGGGACACAGCAAGGACAGGACGGAGGTTAACTTTTGTCTACCTTCATGTGTTCGGGACACAAACAGAAAACAGGGAGCGTGTTACTTTATAATGGAACATAAATCTGGTGAAGTTAATGCTTATCAATGATTATTGTGCTAGAGTCACAATTTTATGATCTGTAATAATCGTCCAGATTAAAACAAAGATTACAAGTGTTTCATTTTGAATATAGCATATGAAAGCTTTCCTGCTGAATTCAACTATATTAAAAAGCTTTTTTGCAGATTTACATGCAGGTGTATCACTGTGTTTAAAAATGCATGTTCACTATTACGTGTACAAACTACAGTTATGTCCTTAAATATTTGGACGTTTTCCTCATTGCGTCCTTTACATCATCACAATGAACTTTAAATAAAGAACTCAGATGTAGCTGAAGTGCAGAGTTTCAGCTTTGATTCAGTGGGTTGAACAAAACGATTACATAAAAATGTGATGAACTAAAGCATGTGTAACACCATTCTTCATTTCAGCAGCTCAAAGATAATTGGACAAATTAAATACGTGAAAATGTTCATCTCTAATACTCGGTGTAAATGCCTCAGCGTGAAGTCAGCAGGTGCTGGTTTGCTCCTGTTTACTGCTCTGCCAGGTCTTTACTGCAGCTGCTGTCCATTATATAACTAAATATGTTTCAGTAAACAGATAAAAGACCAAACTTGTGTCAGTGTCCAAATACGTATGGAGCTAACTGGAAACAGCTCGGCGTATGATTAAGAAGCAGTTTAAGAACGGCCTAAAACTGCAAAGAAGCAGGTTTTTATCTGAGCTGTATAATGTCAGGAAAGCATCACAACTTGATGCTTAAAAATAAAAACAGACTCGGTGCTTTTCAGCTGGCCTCAGGCCGTCTGCCAGTCTGTCCATCATCCATTTCTATTCCTCTGATCCAGCTCAGGAGCTGTGAAGACGTGAGGCTCATCCTGGACATGCTGCCAGTCTAATACAGATAACAACCATTCGATCTCACATCTACACTGCACTAGTTAACCCAGCAAGCCACTGCAGGCACAGGGAGACATACAAACTGTACACAGAAAGGCCTCAGACTGGATCAGAGCCCCCGACTGTTGCTGTGCCTCCCCCGTTATTTGGCTGAATAGTGAAGGGAGTGTTTGACTTGTGATTGGCTCACAGTTCAAGAGTGATTTGCAAATCATTGATATGACATTTTACACAACAAAGTGTTAGAAGTAGGACTGTAAACACTCTGCTACTGCGCATCACATAATAAAGCCGAAGTGTAGAGTCGCTCTGACCCGGGCTGTCCGGTCTCTGGAGCCACTGATGATGAGTCCGTCTTTAGCATCCACACAGTTGACCTCCTGGTTATGACCTGAAAACTCCACTGGCACGTCACTTCTCCTGCTGTGGACGACGATCTTCCCGTCACTGACACCGTAAAGAAGAGCATTAGACTTTCATCACACTTTAGCCGTCCAGAGTAAATCTGTATTCACATAAACAGAAGCTCTTAAGTTGTTTGATAGGCTGGAACCCACAGATCAAAAGTCTTGACCTCTCTCATGCTGACAGGAACACAGGAAATGTCTTTACAGCAGTGTAATCAGCGCTTAGTTCAACCAGCCAGATGTGACAGTAAGTCTGAGCCACCGTCTCTTTGCTCATCATCACGTCACGACTACTTTCAAACCGAGCTGGATGTACTTGTGTTTTTGGCTCTAAATTATTGCCCATAAAGTTGCAGAGTGCGTTTTGAATGTGGACCCTTCTGAGATCACTGTTTAAAGCTCATATAGACCCTGTGTGAGGCTGAGCATTAAGGCTGTATCAGCTGGTGTTATAACAAAGTGGGAGTGACTGGTAAATACAGCAACTCTACCAGGTGGTAAGCCCCGTGCTGAGGTGTGCAGAGGTGCCAATCTCTGCACACCTCCAAACTTCATGTTTGCTGCAGCAGTTTTCCTTCAGCTACCTTCCACCGCTGATCAGGAGAGACTCCGTGACAACGAAGCGACAGACGTCACCCTTGTGGCCCGAGTAGACTTCAAATGGACTACGCTGGAGTCTCCCCGAGTCTTTGTGGATATGGTACACCTTTATATCAGCGGCCTGAGACAGAAAAAGAGTGTCCCCGTCCAGCTGTAACCATGGTAACAGTCTGACAATGAGATACAAATAAAACGTAAGCGATTTCAACACCTGAACGTCTTTAAAATATGCAGATAATGAGATGAACTGACTCTTTATCAGGCAGAGACATGATTAACAGCTCTTCTGTGAAACCGAAGTTTAATCTTTGACGGCACTGAAATCCAAAACTCTCGTTTTACATCTGGACACGTCTGCATGATGTGAACTGAAATAACGTAGAACAGAGGACTCACTTAGTTTTCCATCTCAGAGGAATTCTTCTTCTGCAGATCCCGCTGCACCAGTTTTGAGCGATCTTCACTCTGTCCTTGAGGCGTATGAGAGGATATCTGCAGGAACAGCAACGACCGGGATGACTTTGATCTGTGTGGGCTTTGAATGCTGTGGCATTATCCATGAAAACTATGCATATCTGACCCTCAATCTACACATGTTCAGATGACACATCAACATTTCTATGAAATAAAATGTTTTGTCACAGAAAAACAGTTTTTTGTTTTTTAGCACAACTGTGACGTGCAAACTTTTGTTTATATAGCACCAAATCACAGCAACAGTCACCTGAAGGCTCTGAATATTAAGATAAAGACCCTACAATCATACTGCATCAATAATCTCAGGAGTTGTTTACTGAACTTACATATAATAACTTTGAATACAGACTTTGTGACAGCTTGTTGAGATGGTCACCTTACACTACGGCTTCAGCGAGGGATTCGATTGTAAACGCTCTGCAGCGCGCCGCTGTGTTAAACGATGTCAACAGCAGCGTTTCACCACACGTGTGACTACAAACAGACCTGCAACAGAAACTCATGCAGGAGCAGCGAATGAACACGAAGTGTGACAGCCCACTGATGACACTACAGCAGCAGTGATGGTGACCCAGAGTCTGCTGACACACCGTGAAGAGCAGAGAGGTGGAGCCGACACGCTGAGCTCAGCGAGCGTGACAGAAACACCAGCGCTGTTCCTGTAATCACCACAAAACCTTCACTGGGATGTTAGCAGGAGTCCATCAAAGCAGCTGATCAACAGGCTGTGACCTCAGCCTGCACATGTTCCATATACTACGCAGACAAACTGCTGACTTGTTTACATTATCCAGCTTAATGACGGCTGACGCCAGCAGGACATGATGCCTGCAGACGTGGGGCAGTCTAAAGGGGGCATGGGGGGGACCAGACCATATTTATTTCAATTCTTTTGTAACATTTATCACTTTATTTAAAAGTGATATAAAATATTG